TCCAGCAGAGAAGAAGTAATGAATTGTTATTTGTATGCCTGCTTGGTGCTGTGCCTAACGTTCTTCTGCAAAATTAGTTGCAGGGTTAATTATTTGTTACCCACATTCCCCCAAGTATAGAATCATTTTAATAAAGTCATAGCCATTGTGGTTGCCCAGCTCATCAGCCAGCTGCCTTTTCCACATCTGGCCTCAGAGTTCTTCCAGTACTGAGAATTTTCACCTCTGTCACAACTGTCATTTAAAGCAGTTTTGTTCTTCACTGTGTTCTGAGCTACTCTCTGCTGATTCCTCTCAACTGTGGGGATGGAACAGCCAAAGCTTTTATGCCACTGTGTTTTTGCATTAATTTCACACAGTGGCTTAAGTCTCCCTAGGGTTTTTGTTTCTTTGTAGTCTTCAACAAATGCACAGAAATGCTTTTATGCTCTTAATGTAGTAATCCATCAGTATTCTCTGCTCCAGGAGCATTAATCAGCTGTTTGACAACATTTTATTCACCTCTTCAGTACTTCAGCTTTCACTTATTCATGTAACATGCTTTGTTTACTATGCTGCTGTATAAATCTATGGGAAGAAGAGGAGATGGAAGGAAGTTTATTTAAAAATGAGGTGGAAAAAGTGAAACTAAATCATGGAGTCTTTAAGGCTGGGAAAGATATGAAAGATATGAATCCAGCACTGCCGTGGTCAGCACTAAACCCAAGTGCCCCAGTGTCCCCAAGTGCCACATACACGTTTCCAACACGTGGATGTTTGGATGATGATTCCACCACGTCCCTGGGCAAAGCCTGACTGCCTTTTCAGTGAAGAAATTCCTCCTGACACCCAGTGTGCACTATCCCTGTCCCACTTCAGCTCTTCCCTCTCACTCTGTCCCGCATTCCCCGCAAGCGCACCCTGGCCTCCAGCTCTCCTCGCCCTCCTGCCAGTGGGTTGTGGAGGGCAGGGAGGTCCCTTCCTGAGCGCCCCGTTCCCTGAAGTGCTCTGTGTGTGTGTGTGTTCTCTCCCTTGCCCACGCCAGGCTGAAGCTGTCCCCCAGCCCCTCCTCACGGGTCACCGTCTCGCGCGCCTCGTCCAGCCGCAGCGTGCGCACGGCCGGCGGCAAGAGGAAGAGGATCGACGTGGAGGAGTCCGAGGCCAGCAGCAGCGTGATCATTTCCCACTCTGCCTCTGCCACGGGGAGCGTGTCCATCGAGGAGATAGACGTGGACGGGAAGTTCATTCGCTTGAAGAACACCTCTGAGCAGGTTTGGAAGTGACCGCGCGTGTTCCGAGTAGAGAGAGTCCTCGGTGCCCTTGCCGCTCCCACGGCTTCACTTTGACCCCAGAGCTTGTGACATTAAGGAGCTGGTGTGTCCCAAAGAAAGCCTTCACACACTGATCTGGATTGGTGGTGACTTTCCCCCAAGGATTTTTGGTGCTTTTGTTTTACTGCCAGGTGGCCCGTCCACCAAATCCTTACCTCGCGCTTCTGCGTTCTGCCTTGCAAGTAATGCACCTGTAAAACTGTACAGGTGAAGTTGTTCCTGATCAGAAATACTGCAAACAGACACCAGGCTGCTTTAGATGCCTTTTCAGCACCTTTTCTGCCTTAAAAAGGTTCAAAACAAATAAATACATATGCAGAATAGAGGTCTAGATGAAATTAACTGCCAATGTCCCTTGTATCTGCATAGAGCTTCCCTAAATCATGGTTTTTCTTCTTCCTTGGCTGCACACACAATTTTATGAGCCCTCAACTCCCATGCCAAAGCCACTGCTACAGTGACCACTGAGATTATATGGTTCTGTGAATAGGTTAGGATTTGAGTTGGGAGGGTACACACATCTACACAAATAAAGAACTGTTTGATAAATAATAACCACTTCCTTATTTTGCTGTTACATACAGCACATTTCCCTCCTTTATCTCCACTAAAAGGCAGCCTGTTGTGATGAGCTGGCCGTGTTCCAAGTGTCCCCGTCCCCTCTAATCAGTGAGGATATGGACAGGCTCCTCCAGACAGTGATCATGTAGGTTTTAATTACCTGTAATTACCACACCTGGGGAGCAATGGTTTCATTTAGTGAATTCAAGAAACCTTGACATTTCTCTTGGTCTAGACACTTCATTCTGTAGATGACTCAATTCAGCCAGATCAAAAACTGTTTCTGGTGAGTCAGAATCTGCCCCTTTTTTGCTTTTTTCAGGGATTTTTTTGAGTTTCCCCCCGCACATATGCTTGTTTAACACATAGATTTTTTCCCCCACCTTTTATTTAATTACCCTGCACATCCCTTGTTTCATAAGGAAGGAGAAGCATCAGTTTTGTTCCCAGTAACCATGGGTGGTTCATGTTTTAACACTTTTCTAGGGGGTGTAGATATTGAGCAACTCCCTGTAGTGCAGTGTAATAAACTGTACTTGGGGAATATTCATAAGTGTTTCGACAGTTTATATAAATAAATAGATTTTAAAATTTTAAAAAACACTCTTAAGGATGGTATGTGTTGGTGCAATGACAAACTGAATGTCGGCATCCATGGAATTATATAAGATTGTTTATTTTAGGTAATTTTAACTTGACAGTGGGAACTGTTGAATGATCAGAACCTGTGTTTGTGGGAGAGTTGAAAAAATGCTTGTTTTGAATTTAAAAAACACCTACTCTTGTTTTGAAGAAGTCATTCTGTAAAGATGACCTGTATGTGATTTGTTAATACTTTTAAAGTAGTTGATAGGAAAAAAAATAACATAGGGAGTATGTGGTGGCAAGTGTGCATATGTAAAAATACTTCAAGAATACTAACAACAGTATTTTGTTTTCTAGGAAGCCTGCTTGCCATTCTGTGCTTCAAAAAACAATAAATATTTGTAAGGGGATTTTAATATTTAATACCTATTACTAATATGTATTTCTCTGGCCCAAGTGATAACAAAACTGATGCAAATCATAAACATTAGTTAAGTTAACATCAGAACTCAAAGGCAGAATGTATTAAGCTTTAACTTCAAATAAGAGGTAAGATAAATTAACCTAAAATTATTCTAATTCCATGCTGAAGATCAAGTGATAATAAACCCCTTCACTGAAAGTTTTATGTGTGTCACAGCCTTAAAGATAAAACACACTACATTGCATAGCAGAAAAAATTAATGCCAGTGGAAATACTAAGTTTTTTTTCTTTTTCCTCTCCCTTTTTTTAGGATCAACCTATGGGAGGTTGGGAGATGATCCGAAAAATAGGAGACACTTCTGCAAGTTACAGATATACCTCAAGATACGTACTAAAGGCAGGCCAGACTGTTACTGTAAGTGGTCAGGTTTCACTCGAAATGGACTTCAGGCCAACTTCTGTGGGTGAAAAAGACAAAAGGGTTTTTAGTTTTGTCCTTCCCTTGTATGTTTTCAGGAAGTTATCACCTGTGTTTGTGTGGGGCATTTGTTGTGTTAATTGCTGGGATAATTAATACAGAGATGTTTTTCAGAATTTTCTGAGTGAAGCACTAATTTTCACCGTGTGCAGGTGAAAATTTTAAATCACATTACATATTCTGAAGTCCCTGCATTAAAAACACATATGTTTTATTGTACAAAACTTTAGGATTTGCTTGGTTTTCCTTACTGGAAGGGATTCACAGCGTCACTTAAATGAAATAACATTAGCTGAATTTGGAAATGTGGTAAGGCTGGCAAAAAATGTTGCTGTGTGACTTGTGTTGTCAGATCTGGGCTGCAAATGCTGGAGTAACTGCGAGCCCTCCCACTGACCTCATCTGGAAGAACCAGAATTCCTGGGGCACCGGGGAAGATGTGAAGGTTGTGCTGAAGAATTCTCAGGGAGAGGTACAGCACTCCAGATCTGTGTGAGATTTTTTTCTCTCTCTAGGTGGCATCACCTACAAGGATTCAGATGAGGGCTCCATACAGGAATGCACTGCAGGGGTTTTTTGGGTTTTCTCCTTTTGGAGAACTAGCTGCCGTTTAGAAATGCCTCTACTGAAGCCTGTGATTTTTTTTTTTTTTTTACTCTGTATTGAGTCTAAATAGTGAAAAAATTACATTTTCAGGCACCTTCCTCATGGCAGGAGCTGGGCAGTGCCTTAGAACACACCTTGAAAAGAAAGTTTTGGTAAATTCTTAAGTCAGTTTTTCTTAAGCCTGTGTGCTTATGAGGAATGGGGAATCACACAGAGAAATCCACATGAAACAATGAGGGGTTACTAAAACTTGGGATGGGATAGTTGCTGTGACATGCTGCAAGTGAAAGAAAATATTTAAATATATATGAAAAAATCATATTTTGGAAGGACCTGATGACTTTGTTGTCAGAAACAGTCCTTTTAATCTTTAAGATATTTAAAACTAAGCTGCTTATGATCAATGCTTGAGAAGTGTACAAACAAAATGAGTACAAGGAGTTCTCCCAGCAGCTGGAGCTTTCATTTCTCAGAAGTCCTGAGCAGGTGAGAAACAGGAGATTTTGTAATTGTTGTTTTTTTGAAGAGTCCAAGTCTTAAAACTGTCTTGCAGGAGGTTGCTCAGAGAAGCACTGTGTTCAAAACAACAGCACGTAAAGGGGAAGATGAAGAAGTAGCTGAAGCTCTGGATGAGGAAGACATTTACCGTCAGCAGGTATTTTCTTTTAGGGCTAACAAGGTTATTTATGTTCAAAAAACTGAGATTTAAGTCATGAATTCTTAAAACAAAAAATTACAAATTGAGTGCAGATGTTCTTTTATTTTTTAAAATCAGTAATTAAGGAAAGCATGGAGCTGTCTTTCTGAAAATATTGCCTAACATATCCTCTTGCAGAGAAGTACATTTTTTAAAAGTTTAGGATATGGGGATTTTTTTTCTCCCCTTAAACTCTGTTCCTCTTAGGATTCCCCCCCATGCCAATTTATAGTAGAGCTTGGCTTAAGCAGCTAAATTTACTGATAGTTTTCAGAATTTAAATCTCTCTTTATCTCTCATAGAGAAAGCCATGTTAGTATCTTATATTCAAATATTTTCTCTGATAAAGAGAGATACTCACATATTTTCTCTGATTGAGATAATTTGAGATTTGAAAACTCTTTGAGAGAAAATGTGCCTGGCATGCTGAAAAAAATGAAGTTCTGAAGATGATAAAAAAAAAAAAAAAGAACTGTGTTGGAAATGAGTAATGTTAGATTTATTATATAGAACCTCACAAGGTTCTTCTTTATGCTCCCTGATTCAAATACAGAAATTATTTATATTTTTCTGATGCCTGTCATCTTATTACTCCTCCATAGGAAAGGACATGTAACATTGTTTTAATTCCAGGATAAAACAGGTTGTACAGCTTTGCTGTCTCTTGTTTGTACCCTGCCAGGGCAATAATTTAATGTATGCGAATATATATATGTATGTATATGTGTATATATATGTGTGTGTATATGTATGTATATATGAATATATACATATATGTATATATGAATCTAATTATATATTAAATATAATAATATCTAATTTAAATATATAATTTAAATAAAATTAAATGTTTAAAAATATAATTGATGGTATAAAAATATATAATTAATGTATGTTTGAGAGATAATGAAGATATAATGAATATATAACAAATATAGTCAATATATAGTCAATATATAGTCGATACATAGTCAATATATAGTCAATATATGTTATAATTAATATATAATTAATATAGAATATTAATATATACTTGTTTCTTACTATATATTAAAAAGCACAGTAGATTCTTTTGAGTAGAAAAGCAGTTTGAGCATTTTGCTGCTGGGTGGTTTGTTGGTTTTTTGGGGGGTTTTTCTGGGTGATTTTATTTCTTTTTTTTTGTTGGTTTTAAATGGTTCTCCCTGTTCTCAACAGGCAGAGCAAAGGGCATCCAACAGAAACTGTGTGGTCATGTGAAATTCCAGCCACTCCAGGCTCCTCCAGCTGTGGTAATCCCTGCCTGCAGAACAGAGCCTTCTGAGAAGCACAACGTTATTTTCCTGTCTGTGAATTTTTAAAGCTGCGAGTCTGATGGCCTTAAACTTCCTCTGCCACTGAAAAAAAAGCAAAAAACAAAAACCCAAAAAAAAAAAATCAAACAAAAGAAAAATAAACCAACGAAGGAAAAAGGAAGGTTTGTCACAAGCATCTCGACTTCCTCGCAGGATGTGAGCTGTTAGCTCCTGCTAAGGAGCGTTCAGCAGATGCTCCTGTCTCTCTCTCTCAGATTTATACACCAGTCTCTCTTCATTGAAACCTTGCTGGAGTAGGAATATTCCAGTGTGTTTTGGGGATCGATTTTTTTTAGATTATACCACTTTAGACTAGTTGCTACGACCTCTTTGTATTTTAGGTGCTGTTGGGAAAGCTTAGAGCTTAGAGCTCTTAATTCTGGAAGAGGATTCATGTTACACCTTGTAGTTGTGTTGTTAAGATAGTGTTACCAGCTTAAATTTTTATTATGTGGTATTTTCTAACAAATTAGAAAGCTGTTTTAATATGGATTGCCTTATTTGTTTACAACTTTTAGTAACAAAACAACGTCTCTAGAGGTCTAGTCTACATTTGTATGGGAAACAGTTGTAATTTTGCCAATGTTGAAAGTTTTTCTGTCCTTTTCACATTATTCCAATGTCTGAATTTAATAAAGTATGTCTGTGCTGCAGAGTAAAGTTTATGGAATTTTTTTCTTCCTAGAGCTGAGCTAAAAGTTGAATGAGCGTTGAATCCTTAAAATTTGATGGGCTTTGAAGCTGAAGAAACATCCATTAAATGAAACAGTGGCATTTAATGTGCAAAGATTTCTTCTTAATAATGACTGATACTGCTTCACATTTGGAAAATCAGTTCTTTAGAGCTTTATTCACACTCTGTTGCATTTGTGCTCATCTTGGCTGATGGTTCTGTTCTTCCTGGACTGGCTTTTACTGCATCCTGCAAGTACCAGGCCTAAGCAATGTGAGCGAACACAGTCATATAAGGAGAAATTTAAAAGTGCTGTAAAATAGTTATCTTTGACTTAGCCTGAATGTATTGTTTTAAATGCACAGCCAGAATTATTGGAAGTTTATTGGATTTTTTTTTTAATTGACTGGACTGGTTTTTTTCATGGCAAAATTAAGGTTTTTTTAGCATGTCTTTCACCTTGGATGAGCCCTTTTCTGGTGGAATTTCAACAATGTGCCAGCAGAAGGTAGAAAGGGAGGGATTGATGGACAATTCTTAAGTTATGGTAGGAACCTTCTTGCATGATCAAATTCTTGGTTATAATTTTGTAGACCCTGTTCTTTGACAACAATGGGAGAAATGCAGATTTTAGAATAATTCTTCATTTTTTCATTGCTGTGGCAGGAATTACTGTAAATTAAAGAAGGGAGTGTTGGGAAACACAGCTGTGAAACATGCTGCCACAAGGTGGAGGTCTTGTTTTGCTTGTTCTTTTTTAATACTTGTACAGCAACAGCCCAACGCACCCTGCACTTCCCTGCAACTTCCATAACTTGATTATCATTGGTTCTGGCATTAGAAAATTGCATCCTCTACAAGTAAAAACTTTGGCAATTTACTGCTTGCAGCTGGATAAACATTTTACCAGAAATGGTTTTGCTCAAATACACTCACTCCTGTAAGAAACAGATTAGGAATTTAGGAAACAAGTGGTTTGACCTGTGCAGCAAACCTGTGAACTGCATTCTTTTTTTCCAGTGTTCATTATAAAAACCCCAGTGTAGTCAAAATGGCTGCAAATTAGTTTATGGTACTGTTGACAGCAGTTTTGTGCTAAAAATTGGTTTTTGCTTTGTTTTTCCTTGTTCATGATTTTACATCACATTGGTCCAAGCAGACAGCAAAATATGGGCAGAGAAATTAATAAATTCTGTTCAACAGATGCTAATTATTCATTTCCTTCTATAAATTATGCAATTTTAAATGCTAGTCTTAGTTACATTTTTTCCCATGAAAATTTATCTTATCAGTGTATCATTTTGATACTAATTTAGGGGTTTCTGGATTGAAAAGGATGGTTTTTATCTGTGAAACACTGCATTTCATATTCATATTGCACTGTAAGCTGTATCTGTACTTCAAGTTAAATGCAGCTGCTTTTACGGAAATGGCCACGTGATAACTATGAAGGATTTTTCTCCAGGCAAAGAAATCAAGTAGTTGATGGAGAATAAAAGCTCTTAAAGCCCCTGTCCCAAAGAGGACAAGTGGTAATAGCTGGTGGTTTTTAGAAAGGGAGTGGAGGCTGAGTGTGATGGATGTGAATGCTTATTTAGCCTTTCCTGGACATCGAGGAAAGGCTGGGACACTTAATTATTTATAATACTCAACTAGCCTCCATCACAGGATTATGGCAGAAGTTTGCTATTTTTCCTCAGGTTTTGCTTGGTGTGCATTTATTGCTCAGAGCCTTTTGCTGATCTCCTGGTTTCCTTTTAGCAGGTTTGCATAAATACAGGATCCCTGTGTGATAAAAACACTGTGATTAACCGCAAAGAAAAGCTGCATTTGGGGCATCAGTAAGGCACATTACAGCTTAAGATGATTGACTGATAGAATTTTCCTACAATTAAAAATTAACTCTTGGATGTGAGTTTTCGTAACGGTTCTGCACTTTTAGAGCAAAACAATATTATTTTTGGCAAGCAAGTCTTACTTTCTGCATAATAGTAGAAGCTATGGGATTAAACTGTGACATTGATTTCCCCTGCAACTGCAGCATCTTTGTTTTTGAGGTTGGTGTGTTTTGCTGTTGCTCCTAAGGGCATTTTGTACATAGGATATCAACATTTGGTCTCTATTTTGACAAGTTTTATTGGGAAAGTATTTGGTACACCTAGAATAAAGAAAATTCCCTCTGGTTTTGTGATCTTTCAGCACCAAAGGGAGGACAAGTGTTTTGTAGCCTTGCCAGAAGTAAGTGTGGAGGAGAGGTTGTCAGCAAAAATTCAATACCTGAAAGAAGGTTAAGGGATGTAACCTACTTTAAGATGTAACCCTTGATTCTTTAAAAAAGCTGTCTCATTTGGAAATGCACATGAGACTTAAATTTGAAATGTGGAATAACACAGTGGATCAGTGAGATGTCGCCGTCAGTGTTGGGACTACCTCTGGTTATTATTTGTCTCTATTGATCTGGGGTGTTCCAGATCAGTAGAGATAAATAATAAATTTAAATTAAGTAAATTTAATTTACTTAATTTTGTAAGTAAATTTGGAAATAACACTAAATTGGATCTGCTGGAGGGCTCTTCAGAGGGCTCTGGACAGGCCGGATCCATGGGCTGAGGGACAGCCAGGGGCAGTGCTGGATCCTGCCCTCCGCTCACAACAACCCCATGGAGCTCCAAGAAAGGTTTAAACTGGATATTAGGAAAAGTTTCTTCCCTGAAGGGATGGAATGGGATGCCTGGGGAGGTGATGGAATTATCATCCCCTGTGAGTGTTTCAACAAAACCTATGGGTGTGGCACCTGGGGTCATGGTTTGTGGTCAACGTGGCGGTGCTGGACTCGATGCATCATCTTTTCCTACCTTAAAAATGGTGTGATTCTATGAGTTTGCCTTGTAGTTTTAAAGATGCTTTTGAATTCCCAATAAATGGCAGCAAAGAGGCAGGGCTCAGTTCTGCTCACAAGGAAAATGCTTCTTTAATTAACCAGTTCTGTGTTAAGTGAAGCGCCATCTCACAAAAAGTAGCAAATAAAGATGTTTAATTATTAACAGGGGGTTTTTTGTTTATTTCAAAGAGAGAGCTTTTCTAGCTCTCTTAGTGCCTGAGCCTGTCCCAGTACCTGTTCTCAAACCTCTTTTTGGTGGTGCCCATTGCATCAAAGGCCAGTTGCATTTCTTGGCTCCAGGTCCCTTTTTGCAGAGTTGTCACTTTGCTCAGTGTGACTTTGTACTGGTGCAAAGCTGGTTTAAATAAATGAAATGTAAAGCACATTTTGAGGTCTCTCAATCTGGCAGAACTGTTCAGTTGAGTAACGGAAAAAAACCCAAACAACACCAAAAACTGAATTATCTTTAATAAGTGCTTCTGTTGTGACTTCCTTCCAGCTGAACAGAAAGCTGGGGTATTTCTCAATCTTTATATAATGTGATAGGCAAGTCCTGCAGGGGAAAGACTATAAAAAAGTAAAACTTCCTCATTGTGCATTATATTCATCATACTGAATCAGAACAGGCTGCTTTTATCATTTGCAAGCGAAAATATTGGCTCAAATATTGAATACTGTTCCTTCCATCTAACTTCTTATCTGGAAAAGGAATGTAAATGACAAGGTCAGCTTCATGAGAAGAAAGCATAAAGTTGCTGAGAGAGAAGTTGAGTGACATTTTTAAAATACAAAAAGGTGGTCACTCACCCTGTCCTTAAATATGTTCTTTAATTTTGTTTTTTAAGGAGAGCATAACAAAGGTGTCATTGTACTACCAGGAGCTTTGCTGGCTGCAGCTTCTGCTGTGGTTAATTTTGTCTTTCATTTCTATTCAGACAGAAATGGGTGTTGCTGCTGTTGTAGAAAATATTCTGTAATCATTTTTTTAATAATCTGCTGTAATAATCCATTTTTTTAATGGAAATTTGGGTTTGGTGTGGCATCTACAGCATCAAATCGTGGAAGAAAATTCAGCTCCCATCTGGGAGATCCTTCTGTCTGTAAATCTTTAGAGCAGGAGTGGGATTAAGAGGTAATATCTCTCACCTCCCAGTTCTTCTGTTTTAGGGAAAAAAAGGAAGAATACAAGGATGCTTTTTTTTTTTTTTTTCATGAGTTTAATGCAATGTTAAGTGTCTGACTGGATTTTTCCTGCCACTTTTTTTTCTCAAGAAAATCCATGGGACACTACTGTGACTTCACCAGACAGTTCTGCTGTGCTGCTGCATCAAGCACAGAAACTGGGTTAGTGATGTGTGTGCTGAACTGGACCATGCATTTTCCTCTCTGTCTGCTTCTTCAGGTAAGTAAAGATGTCTTTACACCAAAAAAAAAAAAAAAACCAAAAACCAAAAACCAAACCCAAACAAAAAACCAAAACCAAAACACTAATTAAAAAAAAAAATTTTGAAATAACACAGATGATCTGGGCCAAGCCTCTGTGCTGATCTCTGTGCACAGACCTTGCAGCTTCACTTGAACGAATGCTTCCCTGAATGTTTTGCCACTTAATTCCCTATCCACCCTGATTTTTGGTTTCATGAGGCAAAGCCAACAATAGCACTCATTACGAATAACAATTCTTTCAAAGAATTAGAGAGCGGTAATAACATTCTGAACAAAGCTTACCTAAAGTCTGTGTTGTAGGCATTAAAACACTGACAGCATCCTGACCCAGCTAGATTTGCTTTATTTCTTTACCCTTGGCCAGCAGATATTTATTTAAAATCTGGAATTCTGCATAAGTGAGTGTTCAGTCTTCATTCCAAATAATTATTTACCATTAGGAAGAGGTATAAAAAAAAATAAAGCATTACAGGTTTTAGGCTTTCACAGAGACTGTGATCTTATCTTCAGACCCTTGTTTAATTTTCTCAGGAAGAGAAGCATTTATTCACAGCCAAACATGAGCAACCCCAGCCTTGTCAGACTGATGAGTACATATCTGCAGGTTCATGGCTTTCCTACACACCTTGGCTCGTTGTTTCAGTGCCTTTCTATTGGAGTGAGGCTGTTATTGCTTTATATCCCCATGATTCTCCTATCCCCATGACTGACAGTCACAAAGAACATTGTTAAATAACATGCTCACAGCTAGACTGGTCCACAGACAGAATAAAGAAATTTAACAGATTTGGCTTTGTATTACTAAGCTTTTTCACCCCCACAGAGCACACACAAAACATCAGATAACTTCTTGTCTGATGGTAAATACCCATAATACCTTGAATTTTATGAATAACAAATTATTAGCCTTCCTGCTATGTCTTCCTTTTGATTTTCAGTTCCTGCAGTTTTTGGAAAACAAAGCACATGGTGGTACTGCCATCCATGCACAATTCTAAGAAATTCATCTGTTCAGAGGGGCCCTGTATCAATTTCTAATTCTAGCAGCATTGGGCAATGAGGTTTTGCTAGTTATTTAAAATAAGTGTGTCTCTTCTGGCAGTGAAGGATTGCTGAATGAATTAGGCATAAAAAACCAAGGGGAAGCAGATAAAGTCACCCAGGAATAAGGTCTGATTTTGCACTCCAAATTCCATTTGGTCTCCAGAGAAGACTGTGTTATTAAATATTTTTAATTTTTTTTTTGTCTCAGTGCTACCATGAGAGGTCAGGGTTTGCACACACTGCCAAATCCTACCTGTCAAGCTAGAGTTTCTGCTGCTTTAAAATAATGCTGTTCTTCATGCAAGATGAGTCCCTGCTTCCTAAAACTTATCTGATGATCTCATTCATTATGCATGCAGAGCTTTCCCTACACAAAAGTAAGCTGTAGAGTTAAATTAAAGCCTGGTATAAATGCAGGATATGTTGGCTAAGTTTGAATTCACACCAGCAGAATGTGCACTTCACTGAAGAATGTGGTGCTACTTCATGGAAAAGTAGAATATCTTTTTTTTTCCTGAGTGCTATATACTATAATACTTTTGACAGGAAGATTATTGCAATTTGTGTAATTTTTCTCTTGCGCATGCTAGAGTCGTAACTGAAGAATATTCCTGTCCGGCCTTCCCTGCCAAATAGGAAACGGGTAATACAATTTTCCAATCACTTTGTAGCATTTAAATAATGTGCCAATTTGTAGAGCTCATTGCACACAGATTTTAATAATCAAAACATTGGTATAATGGACCTGCAGATAAAATCAAATGAGGAAATGCCATTGCTGCACTTTAGGAAGCAGAAATAAATATTGGTTACTGTCCAGCTGCCTAAAGAAACAGTACTGTAGGAGCAAGAAATCATAAAAACAAAGCACTTTTTAAACCTGTTTTGCATTGTTAATCACCATAGTTTAATACTTTAAACAATAAAAATGTTTGCATCACTCGATGATGCAACAATTAACATATTTGCAGAATCCATAGGGTCCCTGCTCACTAAACACGTTTGGCAGCTCAGCAAATGCCACAGATGACTGCAGCATCCACGACTTGAATTCTGACTGTGGCTTATCCCTCTGCACTCAGTCTGTAAATCCAAATTGCACATTCCTGGGTGCTGGGTGCCCAACCCCGATGGGTCTGAGGAAAAGCTGTGTGTGCAGCTGCAGCCCAAATCACACAATTGTCTCCTTGGAGCTCCTTTTGAGGGGCTGCAGGCCCAGCAGGGACTGCTGGGTGGAGGGGCCGTGGGCAGATTTTGGGATGAGGAGCATCACCCGCTGATTGTTCCGACGCCACTCGTGGTACAGCCGGCAGTGGTACCTGAAGGACACCTGGGGACACAAGGGACACGAGCTGCCTTCAGTCAGGACACCCTGTGGGGGCCCAGCTGGGGCTCCAGGTGCCTCCCAGGGGGACAGAATGGGTGAGAACTGGTGAAAGAGAGAGCCACCATGCCCAAGCTACCAAAGCACAGGAGACAAGCAGCCTGTGACTGTTTTACCTCTCATTCCCCTTTTTTAACGCCTGAAAAAGCAGACATCCCACCTCTGCCTTTCCCAAGAGCTGTTGGCATTAATGGAATAAGAATTTGGGACATCCTCTCTTGCCTCAGGTTGTTAAATTGACTAAGAATGTAGTTGCAGGCAGATGAACACAGGTGTGTTTTACCTTGTAATACTGTACTGCTGAATGCATCAAAGTTGGGCTTGCACAGAGGCAATGAGCTGACAGTGTGTGTGCCTCAATTTAGATTGTCTCTGGAAATTATTTTTTGTTGTGGTTGTTATCAGGTGTTTCAGCCTTTATGTGGAAATATGTGATTGCTGTGGAGATGCAAGATAACTTGGCCTCACGTTTTAAAAAATAGTCTATGAGTTGTTTTAGTGGCAGCCAAGGACTGTGGGAGTTGTAGCTGTGTAAGAGGACATGTATGTGCAGTTAAAAAAAAAAAACCAAAAAAAAAAAACCCACAAAAAAACTAAGAACAAACTAAATTTTGAGAGAAATGTGCCAAGTGATGATTGTTTTCTTCTTGAGCTGTGGGCAGGAGAGTTGACCCATGCACTGTATCCTTTCCATACTGCAAAAAGAACTAAAAAAATGAAAAAATGTATCTTTTAACTAAAGAAATGTATCTTTCAATTATGTCCTACAATGGCTAAAAAATACTTATATATTTTTTGCAGTTGTCTGAGGGAAACCTATAAATCTTTGGTTTACTGAGCAGTTTTTTGCAAAGACATCTCTTCAGATTGATCCCCACAACTTTCAACCTCCTCTCCTCCCCCTGAAGGAAAGCATCCTGCATCTTTCTCTATTCTGAAGGAATATGAGAAATCTTTTCTCAAAATACACTGCGGGAGAAGCAGAAATCACTTGGAGTAGTGAGGAGGGTGAAAACACCCCAACACCTGCAAAGGGATGCCCTGTAAAATGCAGTGACAGCTTCAGGAGAGTGAACTGGAACTCAGGTTGGGTTTTCAAGCAGCACAACATGAGGTTCTTTGAGTAATAGCTGCAGTGTTAAACAAGGTATGTATGTTATACAAGAGAAAGCAAAGTTTTAAAATTTAAATTAAATTACTTTTAAAAGTAAAATTTAAATATAAATTCTTAGTCTAAGTAAGAATCCCCTTTTGGTGTCTGGAGTTTTCTTCTTGGGAGGACGAGGTGCCTTTTTTGGTGGGGGTGTGTGTGGGTGTTAAAAATACAGAGTAAAAAGTAACAGTGTTTTATGGATAACTTGTCTGTTTTAGAGGGAGGGATAAAACACCTTCTGGGATGCTAAAAATAACAGCCCTGCTGCTCACTGCTCACTGGGACAACTGTGGTGTGTAAATAATCTGTATGCCAGCTTTTGCCTCCAGAGAAGGAAGGCTGATTTACTGGAAGAAAAACAAAGTTTTAGTTCTCTTCATTTCCCCAGGACCTAAAGGAATATTGTGTCATCTTGTGTGTAATTTACCCCGCAGCTCTGAACATATTCCCTGCACAGCCATAGCTGTGTAACAGGATTCTCCCACTCCTGAAAGTGACAGGGCATGTGCTGCTGAAGAATTCGATGAAATTAACACTTCTCTGTGTGCGGGACCATTCCTTCCTGCACACAAGGGGAGCCTGGAGCCCTCCCTGAGGCAAACCCAGGCTGGGGCTTTCCTGCCTCACTGAAAGGAAAGTTATTTTGCCTCCCAGCTCCAATTATTTGGTGATTCACTCCCCTAAAGGCCTTCCTTACCTTGTCCTTCTCAAGTGAACACAGTGCTCCCTTAGCCCATCCATCTCCTACTGCCCCAAATAACAATTTTAAATGGAATTACAGCTGTCCACAAGTGAGCGAGCATCAAAGATACTGAATTTTGATTAAATCAACCAAGGTGTGCATTTATATAAGGCTCAGTATCACTAGCATGTTCTCAAAGAGCTAATAGCACATTTTCCTGTGTGCTTTAGAAGGGGTAAAATTTATAAAGGGAATGTAAGGGATTTTTGCCTCTTAGTCTGCAAATGCAACACCCAGGGATAGGGACCAAAGTTGGGATGCTGCATTAGTCTTAATAAACAAGATTTTGTCATGGCTAATTAAAATCCACCTGAAAAAATGCCTTTTACCACTTCCAACAATTTGGTGAGGGTAAATTAAATGTGCTAGGTAAATTGTTCAGCATTTTGGTTTCCGAGACAGCCACACACAAAGCAAATTTTAACAATATTTGCTTGCATACCAGGCACATCTACACCCAGCACTTCAGGAAAAACAAGTGTGGCCTCACTGCTGGAGTACATGGCCTGTCCCAGGAGAGTGCTGGTGCCTCACAGAAAAGCAGAAAACAGCAAAAAAGATGAACTGCACGAGGCTGAGACAAAGCTCTGAGCTTCCCCTCCTGCCTGCATTCCTCCGTGGGTGAGACAGAGTTCACAAATGTGCAAATGAGATTTCCCTTTCACAGCTTTCTTGGAGATACTCATGAGGAGGTGTGGGGTTTTTGTGTTCCCCTCACACCCCTTTTTCCTCGGGGCTCAGCACAGGGAGGGTTTCTTGCTCCACCAATGCAGTTTTCTTTTAAAGTGCCACCTCCTCAGCAGCTTACACAGGTCCAAATCTGCTGGAAGGGATCTGGGCTAAAGTATGGACATAGCCAGTGAGGGGCAGAGCTGTGTGCTGGCCCTGCGGGATGTGGCCATGCCACGGTGTTCTGGCTTGACTATATGATGATTTTATCCCCAATTGTCTTGTTCTGTTTGTGCAGAATAATGAGTTTTGCATCTTTAAGCCTTGTTCCAAGAGAGAAGGCGGGGAGAGAAGAAGCACAGAGTTTCTTTTCAGACACTTGCACTCACATTCCTACTCCTGCACTGTGATGTCTGCAGATGGACAGAAAGCAGGACAGAGCTCTCCTTTGCTTTAGTTAGTTTAGCTAGCTGAGGCAAAGAAGTTCCCTGGACAGTGGGGTTTATTTCCTCTTTTCTTTGGCCCTGTTCAGACCTGCTCTGGCCTGAACACCCAGGGCAGCACTGGCAGCTCACACCTGAGGCCCACCGGGCCGGGCCTGGGCTGCAGCATTTCCAGCACTGAGGGACTGATCAGAGACTGAGTGAGCTGAACCACAGCCCATGGAGGGAACTTTGTGAGTTTGTCTCTCTTTTAGAGCAGCAAGAGGTTTTATTGATTGCTTAATAAACAGTTTTTTCTACTTTTCTCCAAGGACGTGTTTTCTCCTGGCCCGGTTGGGAGACAGGCCGCTTGAATCTAGAGGAACCCCTTCAGGGGTTCTCTCCCAAATTTGCCCTGAATCAGGACACACACATGGGCAGGTTGGGCTTTTCCTGCCCCAGCAGCACATCCTGGCACCATCTGAATGCCTTGCTGTGTGTGCTCCCCGTCTGCACCCACCCTGCTCTTCCCACTGCACAAAAAGAGGTGTGAAATGTCAAACACAGCATTAACCTGGGCTTCTCAGGGAGCTGCTACACCATGGCTTGATAAACACCCATTTTGGCTGCTGTCCCCTGTATTCCCCTCATTTCTGCTGGGCCAGCTGCCTGTCAGTGCACTGGGGCCAGTAAATTATCTCAATTCAGCACCTTGACAGAACAAGTAACTCTCAGGATGGATTGGCATGAGAGTGACTCATGCTGGGGTGCAGGATGCAATTTAACGTGCCCTAGAAAAGCAGCTCTGTTTTTACAGACCTGGGCAAGTGTGTGTTATGACTTCCCCCACATCCAACGCTTTTGAATTGTAAAATTGGCAAGATGTTGCATTAGAATGAAATCTGAATCCTCTGTGGCAGCCAAGTTGTTCACCTTAATCTATTTTTTGTGTGTGTGTGCTGTGTCTTCACCCTTTGCACATCGCTTTTGGTGAAACTCCCTCCTGTAATGTGGATTCTTTGGGGTTTTAATGTTAAGGTTGGCATTAAATGTGTGAGATGGTATTTTTTGTTTGGACTCAGATGGTTTTAGTTTTTATCAGTATTACAGTCCCACAAACTGAGTTCTATAGTACTTCACTCAAACTAAAAATGGACCTGTATCTCTCCCTTTACAAGGCTTCTAAGGATAAACTGTCTAATTAAGAAATGACATAGAAATTATTTTTACTTTTAACTTAATAACTGACTACTTGTGGCCCGCAATGTGGACTTTTTTATCTAATTACAAAATACTACCTAAACTCATGAAGAAGAAGGTGAAGAAGAAGGACAAGTCTTCACCCTAAAATCTCTATCTGGTTTTATATCTATTACTATATTCTAAAACTTTAAGTTTTCTGCTAAGAGATATTACACACTTTTATTCATACTATACACTCATAATCCCAGTTCTATCATTCTATTTTGGAAGACTTCTCCATGGCTTCAGGTGAAATGCAGTGTTCTCCGGGGTCAGTGCCTGTCAGCACAGAAAGTCCAAAATTCTCAGCATCCAGGGTCCCAACACTGCAGCATCTGTCTGGAGCTCCCCCGTGCTGCTTCCCTGCCTCCCTCCTGCTGTCCCCACTGGTATTTGGCATTTAGGAATCCTTACCCCAAAGCAAACTGTCTTTCTGGTGTCCCAGGGAGCCTGAATGGTGTGGAAACAAGAGGTTTCTTGCAGGTGCAGTCCGCACTCACCAGCACAGGGGACAAACAGAAGCAAAGCTCTATGCCATCACTCTCTGTGCGCCTCATTTTCCCATTTTTGCCCTTTCCCCCTGTGATTTACACAAACCCCCTGACACTTACCAGGGTCCAAAAGAGGTAAATAGTGAAGAGTGCCACAGTGAGTGCAATGAGGCCAACAGCTTCCAGCCTACTGCTAAAGTGCAGGTGGTCCACGGCTCCTCGCAGGCACAGCCAGCCGGAGACGGTGGCCAGCGGGGTGATGAACAAGAAGCACACCATGTCCCCAAAGAGAGTCCTCTTCTCGTGCTGGGGGCCCGGGTTCCTCAGCCACTGCACAGGCACAAAACAGCCAAGGCACGTGTCAGCACAGGGAGGATTTATTTTACCCCCACTTCAAGCACAAACCCAACCCTTGTAGGACTGAACGCAGGCATGGCTTTTGGCGTCCCCCAGGGATGCCTCTCATGGATCCGTAGGTTTTCAATGTACAGCTCTATAGTACTTTTCTATAGCTCCTCCAGAACTCTACAAATATTTACACTAAAAATTTTGAAAGCAAATCTAATGGCATCAAATTTGATCCCTTGCCCTTCTGAAACACCCTTGGAACCCGAAGATGTAGAGTTCCTGCATTCTCTGGAATTGGATTTTTATGTTAATTTTAAATACACGGGTGTTGGAGATTTTTTCAGAAATGGCTTGGAAGGCAGCTGGGAGGAGTAAAATTCTCACAGCCTGTTTCTGTAAACAGTAGAAGTTTTCAGGTTGTTTTTAATTACAGGTAAAAGTGACAAACATGAAGGCCTTGAGAACCTTGCATACCATAGTTCTCAGGCAGCTTTCTCATAACAAGTAGATATTCTATCTTTGGCTGTTTTGGGAAAGCAAAAATAATTTTGAGAACCCAAATCTTGGTATTGGAAACATAAGGAGGGGTTGGTGTGTTATCTCTGACCTATTGTGAGCTCAGGTTTGCAATATGCATGAACTTAATTAACACAGTTATAAAAAGTGATTGATTGAGTGAATAAACGGAGTCAGATGCTGATCAACAAAGGTGGGTCTCTCCCTCCACCTTCAATACACGGGGAGAAATCAGTCTAGAACTTTTAAAATGTATTTTTATGTTAACTTTAAATACATGGGAAGAAATCAGTCTAAAACATTTTAAACATTTCTCCCTGTCAGCCTGTGTATAAGAATCAAATCTTTTGGTGCAATTACACTTCTGGCAGCCTTTCTAAATCCAGTAATGCAGCTGCCATCAGGAAAGTTTTTTGTTTATAAAGATCAAGCCTGAGACTTTTAGTGGCTGGAGATTTTTGACGAAAAGATTCTTTTTAGGAAAGGTATGTATGTGATTATAGTATTAATTAGTAATTAATTAATATAGTAATTAATATAGTATTAGTCATGATACCTTTAAAACTGCGCATAGATTAATTAATAAGGCAATTAAAGGAGTGGTTTTGGTTGAAAGGAAAGGGAGAAATGTTGAAATGTTGGGGGACACAAGACAGATGATGGACTTTGGACCTGGTTAACATAAGAGATTTGATAACATCATGCCTTGGCAAAAGAAAACAGAACTTTGAGGATTGCGAGAAGATTCAATGCCAGATGATGCCAGAAAAAGAAAATTACACCATCTCTGCAAGCAAGAGATGTTTAAAATGCATAAGTTTTTTTATGTGATCTTTAACCCAATCATTATAGTGAAACATTATTAGCCTCCCTAAAATAGTATATAAGTGTTTGTATCCCAGAATACATCAGGTTCTGATCACCAAATCAGACTTCCCTGTCTCTCTCCATCACTGACAATTTCCCTGCCCTCTCTCACATTTCAGAATAAGAAGCCAACCCTTTCTAACAGGTTCTTGGAATTCTCTTTAGCCTCACTCTCAAGAAGAGAACTTTTAACCAGGAAACCTTGTTTGTCACCAGAATCTGAGAGGCATAACAAAATGTAGGGCAAACAACCCCCTGGACCAACTCCAAGGGACAAACCCCAGGCCAGTAGGTCTCTTATTGCATTCACCTGCTAAACATACAAATTAATTAACCTTATTATTAGTAATACTAATTAATTTTTAAAATTGTAGAAATCCTGTATCACCTGCTTGCATATCTACACTTTGTGCACCTGAAAGTTTTCATTAAAGAACTGCTTTTTATCTTATTACTCTTAATGTTGTTATCCTTTGTATTTTAGGCAACACTAGGGACCTGAATTTTTCCCCTTGCTTCCTGCTGATGTCCACATTTATCTGTACCCACCATGTCATTTATTCAGCTGTGGTAAAGGCTGCTTGAGAAATGTTTTATGTAGTGCAGCCCCTAGCATTTGCCCACTGGCTTCTTTGAAAAACTCCCTTTTTAATATGTAAACGTGCAGAAAATATTTTAACATTTCCCATGCTATTTTAGAAACTTTTTTTTTACATTCTGCTCATAACATTTGCAAAGCCATTTTCAAGTTGTTTTAAGATACCCCCACATTTAAGCAGAGTTCAATGCACTCAAGGTTATTTTTATTAGGAGGGCATTAATCTTGAGAAACAGAGTGCCTGACAGTCATCTGCTGAAGCAAAGGTTAGGGTTGAACAGCTATCAAGCCCACACACCCACATTTCTATAAACAGGATTTGAGATAGCAGAGGTGAAAGAAGTTCCTACAACAGTACATTGAGGTCTTCTAATTAAAAAAAAATAAAATAAACCAAGCCAAGCCTCATCACACAAGTCAATATTTGAACAGGAAAACTGTCCATCCCTGTACTTTTTGCCAATGTGAAGAGTAGTGTTTGGTCAAACCTGTTGTGCAGCATCCTTTTATGGGTTTTTGGGGCTAGCAGAACCAGATGAGGCTCATGCATCCCTAAACACTTTGATTCTCTTACTTCTGCAAGTGAGTTTCACATTGGCAGCAGAAGTCCTGTCTCATGTACAGCTCAGGAATTTACAACACGAAAAATACGTTCATAATTTTTTTTTCTTTTTATTCAGGATGTAGGCTTTTAACTTGCTTGAACACTTCTGAAGTGCTAAGGAAGTGCAAAGCACTTTAAACCAGCTACATATTACTGTGAGCAAGAAGTTTTAAGGGAAGATGCCAATTAAAGAAGGAGGCTCAAAACTGGTTTTTCCCTCTCCTTAACCAGGGAAAAAAGTAACCAGCTGTGGTCAGTTGAGCCCAAGAAGCAGCCAAGCCCCAGCACAGCCATTTCCTCCATCCCATCAGTATGAGGGGGAGAACAGCAATAGGCTACAAGCAGAGTTTTCTTCAGCAGAGCTGAAAATAAATGAACGCACATTTACATTTGTATTCCTTTTTGTTTTAATGTCGCTTAAAGGGGAATGCTAAAAAGTGAGTAAAAGTCTCACACTACTTTCCTTGGAGCTTTGTATCCATTTACTTAAAAACAGCACCAAGGGTTTATGCATAACAGCTCCAGTTTATATCTGCTTGCTTCTGAAAAGACTGATTGCAGCCTTCCCCTTGTTCTCCATTTCCAGGAGTCCCTGCAATGTGAAACCACTAAAAACCAAGAGGACCTGAAAGCACTTGATAGCAGAGATTGTGCTTTTAAAGGTTTCAAAGACTGCAAAAAAAAAAAAAAAAAAAAAAAAGGGGGTTGCCATTTATCATTATAATTTTTAAAAGTGATAATAAATACTTTAAAAAAAAAAAAAAAAAAAAAAGCTTTTGTGAAAAACAATTGTTTGAAAGGTGACCTGGAAGAGAAATGCTGGGCATTTGTACACTTCTCCTTGACCTCAACAGGAATTGGAGGTGTTCACCACTTTCCCAGGACAGACTTCAAAATTTTGGCACCTGTGCCACTCAGGTAGTGCAAGAAATAGTTCCCAGTTCAGAGCAAGGAGGAACATCAGGAATGCAGGGAGGGAGCACAAATGTCAAGGCATGTGCTGCTGTCCCCACCCTGTGACTGTCACTACACACAGTGCCGTGCACCTGAATTAAGACAGCATTTCTCACTGTGCCATCAAACCTGATTCAAAGTTTGAGCAGATTAAAATGGTGTGGAGCTGCTTCACAGGCTGATGGCTGCCTGCTCCTGATGCCCTGTGGCACATGAACAAAGAGTCAAACCCAAGCAATTCAAATATTAGATGAGGCTGTGACAGGCAAGAGCAGTATTAAATAATAAATAAAGCCATCACAATTCTACATTCCAGCCTCAAAAAGCCGGAAGGATTTCATTAGCTAGCTCTGAAGTACGAGTCAAAAGCAAGATTAAGCAATTTCAGTGCTTGTACAGATTTCAGTCACAGCACTTATTTTTCTCCTGAAGCAGTGCACACCTGTTTCTAAATCTGCTTCTTTTTCTAGGTCTCAGTCATTTGTTTTGGGAATGGAATGGGCACTGTCAAGTCACTTTATAGCTAAAAAGCCAAGTCAGCAGATCCTTTTGTGCAACTCATACCCACACAGGGATCCTAACAAAGCCCTGAGCTGATTAATTACTGTGGCAGTATGGTATGGACTACCCTGCTGGCCAAGAACGAGATGCAAGCCCAGATGAAGCTGTCAGATCTGCACTGTGACACCCTGAAATCTGTCCTATTAAAACGTGTCAATGCGCCCAATTATTTCTGCAATAAATCCAGACTCTCAGTCTGATAATTTCCCTTTAGGGGAGCGGGGGGAAAAAAAAGAAAGGTATGAAAAGGGTCATGTTTGAATTAAAATGCTGGCCTGCCTGGATTTTTGTGAAGTGAAATCTAAAGTGATCGGTGTTCCCTGTTCCTGATCCACTGGTAACTGCAGCTGGAGTAACAAGACATGAAATGACTCCAGCTATGGCAGCAAAAATTATTTCAAGAACTTTAAGTACAGCACGTGATGCAAAACCCAATCTTGGCTCATGACTGAGACAAGCCAAGAAATCCTTTGAGCATCCAGAACTTCAGAGAGATGGGGGTTAACATTTATCTCAACAAAGTCACTCTCTAAATGCATCTTGGAGAAAGCCAGAAGGGAGAACTGAAGTTAAAGTGCTGCTTAAGGTGAGGGACAAGGTTGGCTTAAGAACAGATGGATAATTGCTGTCCCCAAATAAATTTAAGACAATAATCAGAAAAAAACATCCTCATCCTTCAGAGGATCCAGCTCTGGAGCAGCCTCCAAAGAGCAGCTTAGGCTAAAACCCTTAAAAGCTGACAGAGTTCTGAGAAGGAGGTTGCTTACATACTGAAAGAGATTTTTTATATACTGCATTTGACTTGACAAAACACTGTGAACACACCTGGGGCTCCTCCACCCCACACACAAAGATTTGCTGCAGTCACTTCGCCAAGCAGGG